GTGAAGAACATGAATACAACACCTGAATGTTCTACTTGAAACAAAGATGTATCTTAGTGTGTTTGCTATACAAATCTTTCCTGGTTGTGAATACAAACTGGCACATCCAGGAAGAGAGGGCAAAGATTGCTCACAGATAAATTGAATGTGACCTTTTCAAGTCTCAATGAATGTCCTGAACAAACAGAATAAATTCGCACATTGTTTCATCGGCTGGCCTTGAAGTGCTTGGCTGGCATGATAATTCTTTTGAGAGCTGTCTCTATTTTATCTGCAAAAGGAAGGAGAGGTTTACTTCAGTTTCCAGAGGTAAACCTTGATATTTACCAGCTATCCTGACAGTGCACAGAGTCACAGAATACTTTCCACCAAGTTGAGATACTCACTTCAGCACTAAACCTTGGACATCTGCTGGGCCATGCAAAGAAGCTGGACCTAGGAAGTGGCGGCCTGTTAAACTACCCAGAATACTCTTGTTCTAGGTTTTCTTCTGCAAAACACTGATAAATGTATGCTTTAAAGGTTATCTGGGCCATTGCCCATCCTTCATTTTTAGGAGAGGATCCTTCTTTGTTTGGAGTTCTTTAAAATAGCTGTTTAAACAATGTTTAAACATTGCAGGGACACGGTGGTTCAGTGGCTAAGACGCTGAGCTTGTCGATCAGAAAGGTTGGCAGTTCGGCGGTTCAAATCCCTAGTGCCACATAATGGCGTGAGCTCCTGTTACTTGTCCCAGCTTCTGCTAACCTAGCAGTTTGAAAGCATGGAAAAAATGCAAGTAGAAAAAAATAGGAGCCACATTTGCTGGGAAGGTAACAGCGTTCTGTGCGCCGCCCACATGACCACAGGGATGTCTTCGGACAGCGCTGGCTCTTTGGCTTTGAAACGGAGATGAGCACTGCCCCCTAGAGTCGGGAACAACAAGCACAGATATGCGAGGGGAACCTTTAGGTTTTGTTCTGCAAAGCACTGGTAAATATACGCTTTATAGGTTATCTGCCCGTCCTCCATTTTTAGGAGGGAATCCTCCTCTGTTTGGATTTATTTAAACATAGCTATGACAACAATAGTGGAATGATGTCTTTGAACTCCAAAGGCATTAAATCTAACAGTGGGAAGAAGTGGGGCCAACCAGGCACCAAAAGTTGCTGGAGATAATTTAATCAGCTCTTATTTCGGAAGTAAGCTTGCAATATGTCTCAGAGAGGCATTCTGTATCGCTTTATCAGCTACTTAAACCCCATCCACTAATCAAAAAAGAGCTCTCAGGCATGTATTACAACTAGCGCATATGCCAATATTGTTTTTGGCTTCTGTACATGCTGAAAGAAGCTTTTTGAATGATGCAAAGTCCCCTGGTGAGACAAACGGCAACTGATTTTTTTTTTTTTTAAAGGCGTCTGCTGAAGGAGGTGGCTGAGATCAGGCAAAGTGAAGCAACGTAGGAGTTTTGCTTCATGCTTCAGAAGAATAGTTTACTGGAAGCAGGACCAAAGTAAAACACCCTGTGAAGTATTGCTCAGCTCTTTCAGCCTCAAGCTTCACCTGTTCCAGGGCCCCTAAATTTTCTGGCTCTGAGAACAGGTGGTGTTGGTGGGGGGGGGGTAGGGAAGGGGATGGTTTTACATGTGCGTCTGCCACTTGTGCAAATACAGCTTCATTCGCACGTACACTTGCCCACTGCTTGTGCAAATGAAGACTCACCTGTCCACCTGCCACATACACAACCCAGTTCCCAACTGGGCCACGGCTCGAAGGGCCAGTACTGGGCCACGGGCCAGTACTGGGCCACGGCTCGGAGGGTTTGGGGACAGGGGTGGGTTCCAGAATGTTTTACTGCCAGTTTGCTCAGGGATGCACTTCAGGCAGGCACACAGTTCACATGTGCACACACATGCACAGTAGTGTAAAAATTGCTTCTGCGCATGCGCAGAAGCAAAAAACAAGATGGCGGCACCATAGGCACCATCAATAGAACCGGTTTGGAGGCATGGGTGGCCGAGTTACTATCTATTCGGCTGAACTGGTCCAAACTGGTAGGACCCCACCTCTGGTTGGGGGCTTCTGCTATATTCAATGCAAGGGTAGCTAACTCAGTTTGCTAAGATATAATTCATCTTCTGCACATCCAACCTGTATTGCCAGTTGCTCTGCCTTTCCTGTTGCATACCTAACCAGTCTTGAAGCATCTAACCACCAGAGGACTTTTACCCTGGCATGATATCACACCCATCCCTCAGCTGCCCTTGAAGGCAATTTAAGAAGATCCCCCTGCCCAGAGAGACAAGGCCTCTGTGATTCTGAACATGTAGAAAGCATAGAACATGTACTTCTCCAGTGCCTGTACTTCAGAGAGAGTTGTATAAACCCAATCTCACCATTATTGTGCAAATACCTGGGACACATAGGGCATTTATATACATCCCTGCTTACAGATATTAGCCCTGCCAGAACATACAATGTTCTGCCATGTTCTGCACAGCTGCACTTAAAATTTGTCATAAGGGATTTGAGGATTTAGAATAGAATAGAATAACAGAGTTGGAAGGGATCTTGGAGGTCTTCTAGTCCAACCCCCTGCTTAATCAGGAAACCCTACACCACTTCAAACAAATGGCTATCCAACATCTACTTAAAGACTTCCAGTGTTGAGGCATTCACAACTTCTGGAGACAAGATGTTTCACTGATTAATTGTTCTAACTGTCAGGAAATTTCTCCTTAGTTCTAGGTTGTGTCTCTCCTTGATTAATTTCCATCCATTATTTCTTGTTCTACTCTCAGGTGCTTTGAAGAATAGTTTGACTCCCTCTTCTTTGTGGCAGCCCCTGAGATATCGGAACACTGCTATCATGTCTCCCCTAGTCCTTCTTTTCATTAAACTAACATTCCTGCAACTGTTCTTCATATATTTAAATCTGATCTGGCTGAAAAAGTATTGTGATTAGTACTAAGGTTAGAATTTTAAAATATATAATTATTCTATTTGACAATTTACTATATGTTATATTACAATTAAGAGAATGTAGAATGATTATTGTTTTTTTAGAGTTTTTACTATTAGTATTTTAAGATAGCTTAAATACTGAATATTCATCCAAAGTAGAGAAAAGTTGTTGTATTGTACAGGTAGTCCTCAACCTATGACCACAATTAAGCCCAAAAGTTCTATTGCTAAGCAAAATAGTTGTTCAGTGACTTTTGCCCCATTTTATGACCTCGTGAACCACTGCAATTGTTAAGTTAGTAACACAATTGTTAAGTCAATCTGGCTTCCCCATTGACTTTGCTTATTAGAAGTTACAAAAAGGGGATCACATGACTTGGGACATTCGACTCTCATAAATATGAAGCAGCTGCTAAGTATTTGAATTTTGATCACATGGCTATGAGAATGCTGCCATGGTTGTAAATGTGAAAAATAGTCATATGTCACTCTTCAGTGTTGTTATAACTTTGAAGAGTCATTAACTGTATGATTGTTAGAAGGGAATTATCTATTGATTGAAAAATGTTGGAGCTCACTTTTATATTTCTTCAACATATTTTCTTGGTCATGTTTTAATTTGCCCTGGTATTCCAACCCACTTTTTCACTTTATATTAGGAAACTAATCAAGGTGGAAACTAATCAAGGAGGGAAGCAACTTAGAACTGAGGAGAAATTTCCTGAC